AGTGTTGGAGCGTGCTACTCTGTAAGCACAGTGCGACACATGCATTGCAACTGGATACGCGTTATCTTGACGTACTACGGTATCTGCGTCATCAGTCTAGTGCAGCTCGTAGTTCAGCTTCAAGGAGGTCAGAAATTGGACATGCAGCTCGAGGGCTGCAAGAAGGAAGCGGCCGCTCAACGGCATTTGCATAGCTCTCAATTCTACTCACTTCTCATTTCTCCGGGTTTGACTCACATACCAAGTTCCTATCGATCCAAAAGGTTATGAGAGCCAACGCCAACACCACAACCGCCTTCACGACCAAGCTTTGCAAGTTCGACGGAACGGGGTACCGCGTCTGGGCGCGGCAGCTCCAGCTGTATCTGAAAGTGAAGGATGTGTGGGGTGCTGTGTTGAAGCCGGCACCAACATCGCTGCACCTCGAGAATGAGCAGACCGGCCAAGCTGATCGTCCGTTACAGCTGAGGGAGCGACCGCTAGATCAGCTGCTATTGCAGCAGAAACTCGCCACGACCATTATTCTGTCGGCGCTGACTGAGGATCAAGCCGCGTTGGTTGCGGACTTACCGCATCCGCAGGCCATGCTGAAAGCGCTGCAGAAGACGTATCGCCATGTGTGCGACACGACAGTCGGGTCACTTAAGCGACAGTATCTGGCTCTCTACGTCGATGTCGGTGGTGACATGGTGGAGCACATCAGGCTAACCCGCTTGATGTTGGCAGAATTGAAGTGCTATAAGATATCCTCAGTGATTCTGAGAAGAAGAGTAATTTTCTACAAAGCCTTGGACCCGACTGGAATGGCTACATAGGCTCGCTGGAGACATGCACTACGATCGATGAGCTTCTGATTAAAGTTGCCGCCGAGGCAAGGCACCGTGCGACTCGAACACAACGTGGAAAGCGGAGTGGTGCCCCAGCAGTGCGTGGCGGTAGTGCCTTTACGGCGGCCACGCACGGGAAGTCAGGTGTGAAGAAGGGTAAATGCTTCAACTGTGGGAGGCGTGGTCACTTCAAGAATGAATGCAAGTCGAAGAAGCGACTCATCGGTGCATATGGCGGTCGGAACAACAGCCAAGGCTGCAGTGGTGGCGAAGAGAGCGGTTTTGTATTTTATGTGAGCTCTGTCTCGGACTCACTGGGAGCCGACTGGATAATTGACTCTGGCGTATCCAGTCACATGACGGACGCGCGTGTACTACTGTCTGGTCCGAGTAAGATGGACGCGAACGTTGTCATTACGACGGCTAATGGGATAAAGCTTCACGCGACGCATCGGGGGAAAGCGGACTTGCCATTGGCTACTGACGGAATGTGCACTTTGGATCACGTACTGTTTGTGCCTGGGCTGCAACGCAATCTCGTCAGTCTTAGTAAGGTCGGAGCTGCAGGGCTTACGGCCACGTTTGATCATGAGCGATGCGTGATTACGAGCGGTAAGTCCAAGCTGGTAGCAACTCGACGAAGCAGTGGCCTGTATGTTGTGGAGGTGCCCAGTACCATCCGTAATGCTGAAGCGGCATACGTGTCTGGCTATCGGCTGAGCGACTTATCCCTCTGGCACGCCAGGCTTGGACATTTGAGCGTTCGAGACTTGATTAAAGTGCTGAAAGACGGTGGTGTGACAACGCGCGACAAGCAACTGCGTCCCTGTGAGGCTTGCGCAGCTGGGAAATTAGCCAGTCTACCTTTCTTATCGAAGAAACCACGAAAACTTAAGCGCGGACAAGTCCTGATCGCAATCGAATATGTGGGGCCAATGGAAACGACATCGCGTGATGGTTATACCGGCTTGGTAAGTATGATGATCGAGCCCTATCACTTAGCTGCGGTTTTTCCAGTCAAAGAAAAAAGCTCAGCTACGCAGCTGCGAGTACTCCGTGAGTGCATTGCAAACTTGAAGGTTGCAGTCCCGAAGGCAAAAGTGTCTGTACTGAAGAGCGACAACGCTGCTGAGTACTTTCCAGATTGACGGTATACCAGCTCCATGTCCGCCGTTCGCTTGAGATAACCCAGCACACGACCAACTGCAGCTTGCACTGTGCGTGTTGGAAGCTCCGTTTCTTGAGCGATGAGACGAACGGCTGTGGCAAGATCAGGACGACTCACTGTCGATGCATATAGTAGCGATCCCACAACAGGACGAAATGATTCACCAATTATCTCCATATATCGATCACTTGGTGCTGGAAGTCGATGTTCATCGGGGTGCGAGGCTGCATTTGACCATAGCTGTTGTCAAGTCGCTTGATCATCATGCCGGCATACTTCAGCTGTGCAATTGACGGTATGTGGCCGTTCTTGCTCCATGACATCTCCATACCAACGAAGCTGCTAGAGGCATCACACTTGCTGATCGCGAATCGACGAGCAATATTCACTTGAAAGTCAGTCAGTTCTGTCGTCACATTACAGAAGATGAGCATGTCGTCTACATATAGGAGAACGACCATAATGCTGTTAGCGCTGCGCTTAACAAGAACGCAGGTGTCGGATTGGCACTGCACGAAACCACACTCGCACAAGAACTTAGTCACGGTCTCGTACCAAGGTCGCGACGCCTGCTTCAACCCGTATAGAGCTTTACGTGATATCCATACCTTGTCATCACCATTTTCAATCGGGGGGGGGGGGGGGGTACAAAGATCTCTTCTGACAGGCTGCTGCTCAAGAATGCCGTTTGCACATCAAGTTAAAGATGATCCCAGCCGAGTTGAACAGCCAAAGCCAGAATGGCTCGGATTGAGTCATGACGAACGACGGGGCTGAAGGTCTCTGTATAGTCCACCCCACAATGCTGCGTGAATCCTTTGGCTACTAACCGGGCTTTGTACTTGTCCATGGATCCGTTTGCGAGAGTCTTACGACGAAATACCCACTTGGTTTGCAAAGGACGTACGTTCGCTGGAGGAAACATTTCTTCGTAGGTGCCATTGCGTCTCAAACTGTCCAGCTCTGCGCTGATAGCTTGGCGCCACAGCTCCGCATCCGGACGAGACATGGCTTCTTGCAGCGTGAGTAGGTCTTGGAGTTCACTCACCAATGTCATTTCCTCCGCGCTGTGCGACTCCTCAAATTCGAGTCTGCGAACATTTCTTTTTCTTGATACGAATGCTGCGGTGAGAAACTTGCTTATCCATGCGGGGGTCAATGATGTGCTGCCTCTATTCTTCTCCGGCGGCCGAAGAGCTTTGTAAACAAGTCTGCCACCATGGCCGCCGTTGCACAATAGCGTATCTGGATGATCCTGCGCTGTACTTGCTCACGCACCCAGTGGTAACGCAGATCAATGTGACGCGAGCGCTGCGAGAGATCAATGTGCAGATCAATGTGACGCGAGTGCTGCGAGACACCTTTTCCTTCTGCAACATGTTGAGCCGCTGGATTGTCCTCGTGGACGATTAGCTTGCCAACATCGAACCCCAGCTTGAGCAGCAACGGTTTGAGCCCAATGCACTCCTTGATACCGTACGCGAGCTCTCCAGTCTTCTCCCTCCTCACAACCCTCTGAAGCGTAAGGTCACTCCCGGTACACAAGAAAAAAACTGGTTTGCTGTCCCACCAGTTGATAGCAGCCATTTGCTTCACTTGTTTGGATCGAACGGTAGTGAAAGTTCCCCGTACGATATGGTTGGGTCGTTTCTCCGGGTCCTTCTTCTTGTGTCTGATACTTGCAGCGAATCCAATTCGGTTTGTCATGAGCGTGCCAACGATATAGAACCCCATCAAAAGTAACTGGACAGCTAGCACCACACTAGAGTAAAAGCGATCTGTAACCACGAGCCGAAAGCCCTTGTCTTGACCGTCAGGAAAAGTCTGCCTTCAGGTTACGAACTACTGCAGCAGGACCCGACTTCTTGTCCACCGAAGTCGTGTCATCAATGTGTTGCTTCTTGTCTACATAGACCTCAAATCTGTATTATACCGCAGATATATACAGAATATCATAGATGTAAGATATATTATACAGCTTTTCACCTCCAAGCATTTCGGCAAGTACCTGATGCAGTACGCAGAGCGCGCGCAGCACAGCATAAACATCTTTGTGCCCCATTTACACGGTTTATCCTTCATGTACACGCGAGTCTTGTTGAACGACGATTGCAATGATAGCATTCTTTCATCGAACACAAGCTCAGCAGAAGGTATAAAACCACGACAGAATGTGCGCTGCAGCACATAACTACTTTTCGAATCTTCCAGGCTCTATCAGTCTTGGCGCGTGGATCAAGGTTGCTTGAGAAGTGCAGATTCCGGGAAATCTCCATGAAGCGGTCTCTCGTCATATAGTTAGAGAACTTGCCACGTCCAATAGCGCCTTCATCGTCCGGGGTCCAATGGTTTGAAATCTTTTCTCGGTTTGGCTGCACGGTCCGAGCGAGAAGTAGCCCCATGAACACACAGATTTCATGGAGAAGAACAGGATGGACTTCCATGAGTGACATACGTACATCTCCTCGTGAACGCAGCGGAGTCCTGTCATCCGGCCGGCGACGCTGCATAATTTTTTCGACGCTCTAAGTATGCTTCAACACGCGCCTCTGTTTGATCATGATTGTAGTTGTTGCTGCACACAGCAATATGTTGCCAAAGTGATACTGGCATAAAGTAGAAGAACGACGCTAACGGTGAATCGCCACACTTCATCGCATCTGGGTGCAGCCTTCGATAAGGGAATATTTCTGCTAACGTTACCGCCAAATACCACGCATTTGTACCAGCTACTTAATGTCGCCGTCCTCAAGCCGTTCAAAGATGCTGTGGCTAATGTACTGGTGTCTAAGCTACTGGATGCAGCAGACATGATAGTATCAAAAAACCCGCTATTCAGTTCGCTTGCGCGGCTTACAAGTCACCTATCGCAGAGCGGCCCAGCAATGCAATTAACGCATTCTCCCGTCGTCCCTCCAGAATAAGACAAATCGGCTTCGACGGTATAGGGATGAGGATGTCAAGGACACGGGTGGTAGCTGAATTGAAAGCGAGAGGGGGTCCACATGGGCGCCCGCACGGAATATCCGCCAGCACTAGAGAACCTGAGCAAGAAGGCTAGAGTCACAGTTGATATTGAAGGAGTTTTGGTAGGTAATGACGACCTTCCTTATAATAGTGGCGTCTTATGCTCTACCAATAATAGAAATATCAGCGCGCACTAAATTGATCACTTGGGTTTTGCTTGTGGTTTTGCATAGTTGTCCATACTCCTTAAGACTCGAGCTACACTGCATTTTAGTTGCATTCTGATCATGTTAATGCCTTGATTCCACTTATTAGTAGATAGCGTGGCCTTCTAACTCGATCGCTTACGTCCTGGCTCAATTCCGCGCACTGAATCCGCTCGTTATTAATAGTGTGGCGATGGAACCCTTGTAATGGTACAGCATCTGGATACAGCAAAGATTCCTCTGGATAGTGATAAAAGAAAGCAATATCACTGCAAAGAGGTACTTACAATTAGTTTAGTGACACTAGCACTTATTTCATACTCGAGCAACATCGCATGTCACCGTCCCCCTTTCCTAACGTTTTAAGTACTGTATTGTACTGCTGATGCAGCGCCGTCCCCACACAGAGGAGCGCGGTCTGCTCCCGACACTCGCTCGAAGTGCCCGCCGCTCACCCTTCAGCAGTCCACACATTATGCCTCGTCGGATTCCTCGCCCCGTTCTACTTTTGCTTGTGCTGGGCGGTCTGGGACTGCTAGTAGTCACTGCCAACTTCATTTTTACATGGCGTGCCACGTCAGTCGCCCGTACTCGCGCCGAAGAGCACCTTGCGACTCTGCGGGAAACCCCTGGTGACACTAATACAAGAGGCAACAATGGAGGCAACACTCTCGATGCTCAGAACGGAGACCAAAAGCCGCAGATGCAGGAAGAACGCGACCAGTTCTCAGCCGACGACGTGCAGCGTATGGAGAAGCAACTTGTGTACACACTCCACCAGATAGCGCAGCGCACGACCGAGAAGCGTGGTATTGTGCTGCCAATGTTTGACGGCGTTGCAGCTCTTGGTCTGTCGCTCATCATGGAACTAAGAGCCATGAGCGTGGATCTACCTATTGAAGTTCCACACTGCGGAGATCTAAAGGAGTCACTACCGCGTATGCTGCAGGAGAAAGAGGACATGGGCATCATCCGCTTCTACGATGTATGTGAGCTGGCCTCGAAGACGGCCAGTACGCTGGATCCTTCACGCAAAGTCTTCTGTCAGAGCTTGCGCAACTGCCATCGTTCGTACAGATCCTTTGATGTCAAGCTGCTAGCTATGACGTACTCGCAATTCGAGGAGATCATGCTACTTGATGCAGACACGCTGTTCTTTGAGAGTCCCATGTCGCTTTGGGACACTGAAAAATACCGCAATACCGGTACATTGTTTTTCCATGACCGATTAAGTCAGGACAACATGTTCCTCGGCAACCGGATTCGTGGCAACAAAGATGTAAGCGAGCTGAATCAGTACATTTCGAGGTTCGACGTGTCCCCATTTGCACCTTTGGGCAACATTGAGCGACCAAAGGCGACGAGTGAGAACAAGATCCCAGTGCAGCTCGACAACTTCTCGCCCAGCGAGCACCTGCTCACGAGCCACTCGTGGAACCACCGCGCAGGACACGAAATGGACTCGTCCTTGGTACTGTGGAACAAGAAACGGCAACCGCGTGCAACGGCAATACTAGCGGCCTTTGTGGCATTGAATGGCATCGGCCGACCGCCTTCGTATGGCGATAAGGAACTGTTTTTCATTGCGGTTGAACTGGCCGAGACACAGTACGCGTTTTCTGATTTTGGTGTAGGCGGCGTGGGCTGGGATTTCCGAGACAATGGGCCCGGTAAGTCCGTCGTCTGTGGTCACGCCTCGCACTACTATCCAGTCAAACCAGCGGATGCCAGTGCTGTGGCGAATACTAGTGTACTGTACCTGAATAGCGATGCCATTCTGGAGTACAACCCAAAGAAAAAGCCCGTGTATTACAGTCAAGCACGGTTATACGAGGTGTACGCTGGATCGTTCGAGCAGCGCGACCTCCCCCAGGAGTGCCCATTCGACGTTACGGGCGTGCGTTTCTCCTCGGCCCAAGAAGATCGTTTGCTCCTACGCCAGCGCTTCCACGAAATCGCAGTAGCTTGGATGGAGTAGACACCGCACACTACAGTAGAATGAAAGCGATCGCGTCTGAATAATTACATCTCCATATTTGATACTTCAAGTACTGTACTGTACACACCTTTAATAAGCTTTCAGCAACTCGGGTTCTCGAAGTATGCCGCTGCATCACCAGCAGTTTTGAATAAGTGGACGAAATCATGTGAGCCGCTGGCTTCACTGTTTATTTACAGTGTTTACTACAGATACCCTTCCGGTATCTACAGTATGAGGCAATTGGCCAGTGATCTCCATTGAATGAAAGTCAAGCTGACAAAGGGTTCAGCTAGCTTCTATTTTGCCGATGCTAGAAAATGAACAGCTTGGTGCAATTAAAGATATTACTGTACGGGTAGTTTCACTGGATGATGGCCCACTCCGTGACCGTCGTGCTTCACCACTTGTGAAGCCCAGGTCCGTGTTCACAGTTAACATGTGTGTTGTGCCTTGAACGGTTGACACCTACAACCACAAAAAGCTGCACTTTCCAGCAATTATGCCTGACACAAACCCAATTATTCTCGATTTATCGAAAATAAAATTTCTCCATTTTTAATTCCGTTAGTGGAGTCTAGATAAAAAAAGTTAAAGGTAAAATTCAGCTTTCCGTCCCCAGTTTCGATGATAAAATTGGGTCTTTTCCTTGGATAGGGATGGCACTCGTCGTGCAGCGCCAGGCTTTCTATCCGCACCCAGTTGTCGTTCATTTCCGCATTTCGAAGAGGAACACGAAGCAGCAGTGTGACCAACACTCTTGTGCTCTGCTCCCCACTTCGTCATGGCCCGCCCGCTCGGCCTCGTGCGGCTGCGTTGGATCGTCATCTTGCTGGCAGTGGGTGTCATTTTCGTGCTGTCCGATGTGCTCTTCACGTGGCGGCAGCTGACCACGTCAGTATGGTCCGCTGCCACGTCCTCGTCCTCGCCACGTCCAGTCCACAGCGGTGGCGCTAGAGCCAATCCGGCCACTATCCAGGCCATTTACGATGCTGTAGCTAAGCCCAAAGACTCCGCGGACGTACAGAAACTTGCACAGCTCGTAGATCGCCTGAATGAGAGCGAAGCTGCCGATCTATTGCGCAAAGTCGATCCGCAGGCCAAGGCCTCTGCTGTCATTACTGCAGCTAAAGCAGCAGCCTCAGTACCTCCATTGACACTGTTAGAGGACGAGAAGGACAATACACTGAGGGTGGAGACAGAACAGCTGAAAGCCCAAGAGGTGGAGGCCACAAAGGAGGAGAACCGCATCATAACGCTCGAGTCGCAACTGCTCCATTCATTGCGCAAGATCACGCAGAAGACGATGCTGCCACGTGGCATTGTGTTGCCCTTGTACGACGATCTGGTGCCACTAGGACTGTCCTTAATCATGGAGCTGCGGTCTCTAGGAGTCACGTTACCCGTGGAGATCCCGCACTGCGGAGACTTAAACCCGAAGCTTATAACAACGATATCGAACAAGAGCAAGCACTTGGGACAGATGTACGTGTACAACGCGTGCGAAGTAGCAGCCAAAGAGAAGAGTTTACTTGACGCCAGTAAGCCGATCTTCTGCAAAGATCTGGACGAGTGCCACCACAAGTTCCGCTCGGGTGACATCAAGATCCTGGGGCTAATTTACTCTCGTTTCGACGAGTTGATGCTCGTGGATGCCGATGCGTTGATGATGCAGAGCCCCACGTCGCTCTGGGAGACGGAAAAGTACCAGAAAACTGGCACCTTGTTCTTCAACGACAGGATCAGCCAGACCAACACGTCGTTGGGGTTCCGTCCAGCGTCACGACTGCACTCCAATGACCTCCGCCACTATCTGTCTAGTGCTGACGTGAGTATCTTCCGGCAGCTACCGACCATTCAACGTGAGAAGGCGACGACAGCGAGCGACGTGGCGTTGCTCTTCGAGCCGAGTGATATTCTACTAAACAGCCACGCGTGGAATGGCCGTAGTGGCCACCAGATGGACTCGTCGCTGTTGCTCTGGAGTAAGAAGCGACAGTCTCGTGCGACGGCTGTGTTGGCCTCGTTCGTCTCGCTTAATGACGTGGGTCGCCCTCCTTCAGACGGAGAGAAGGAGCTCTTCTTTTTGGCCTGTGAACTCGCAGAGACGCAGTTTTCTTTCTCGGACTTTGGTGTGGGAGCTGCAGGCAGTGACTTTAAGGATCATGGAGAGGGCAAGTCGATTATTTGCGGTCAGCCGGCGCAATTTTATCCTGTCAAGCCGCAGGACGAGGGCAATGTAGGTCTGCTCTATCTGAACTCAGACGCGATCATGGAATACAAACCCAAGACGCAGCCTGTGTACTACTCCAAGGCTCGAACTGCAGACGTCTATCCTGGCTCATTCAGCGACTGGGAGTTGCCACAAGATTGTCCTTTTGACGTCACCGGCGTGCCGTTCTCCGACCTGCAAGTACAGCGTATTTTACTGCGTCAACGACTGCATGACATTGCCGTGGAATGGGAACGCAATGCGTTGATGAGCGAGAACGAGAGTGAACAGACACAAGCCGACGCTGTTGTTAATACTAAGCTAGATGCACTCTTGAAGCAGCTAGCTGATGACACGCCATTCGAAGAGATCGCTGCCCCAGCCTCAGCTGAACCTGCTGCTGTTGCTCCTGCGTCGACGACGCCGACACCTCAAGCTCTTCAACAGGCGAACAAGTGGGCGGACTTTATGAAAACTGCAAGAGAACGAGCCGAGCTAGAGAAGCAAATGGAGACGAGACTGATCCACTCGCTGAACACGCTCAGTCAACAAACCAGTGTGCCGCGGGGCATCGTGTTGCCGCTGTACGACAAGATCACGACGCTCGGTGTTTCGTTAATTCTGCAGCTGCGCTCACTGGGTGTGGATCTGCCGATTGAGGTCCCGCATTGTGGTGACTTCGACGAGGCTTACGGAGAAGCGATCATGAAGAAGCGAGCACAGTTGGGTGAAGTCTACGTGTACAACGCATGCAAGATCGCTGCGACTGCCAAGAGTTTGCTGGACCCTTCGAAGCAGCTGTTCTGCAAGGATCTGGACAATTGCCATCGTCGCTTCCGGAACTTCGCTATTAAAGTGTTAGGCGTCGTGTACTCGCGCTTCGAGGAGATCATGCTGATGGATGCGGACGCATTGCTGTTCCAATCGCCAATGGCATTGTGGGAGACGAACAAGTACCAAACGACAGGCACGTTGTTCTTTAACGACCGAATTGCCGAAGCGAACTTCTCTATGGGTCTCGGCTACAAGCCAGCAAAGCGGCCGAACATTATGGCTATCGAGGACTATTTATCCAAAGCTGATGTGGATCTCTTTCGTAACATTCCCACCATCCCACGACCCAACGCGTCGGCGAAGCTTATTGCTGCAGATGAATCGACTGTGACGCTGCACTTCCAGCCGAGCGAGGGCCTGCTCAAGAGCCATCCGTGGAAAGGTCGTAGCGCACACAGAGTGGATTCCTCTGTCCTGCTATGGAACAAGAAGCGACAGCCACGTGCTACAGCCATTTTAGCGTCGATAATATCACTCAACGACGTCCCAAGACCCCCGTCTTACGGCGACAAGGAGTTTTTCTTTGTGGCGTGTGAACTGGCAGAGACTCAGTACGCTTTCTCGGACTTCGCCACGGGTTCTGCAGGCTCGGACTTCCGCGACAAGGGCGAGAACAAGTCGATTATCTGTGGCAGTGCAGCGCATCACTTCCCGGAGAAAGCCGAGAGCACCCCTATCCAAGAAGTGAGTTTGATGTACATGAACACCGACTATATCATGCGGTACAAGCCCAAGAAGTCGCCCATGTATTACGCTGCTGCTCGGCCGCGCGATGTCTTCCCCGGGACGTTCGAAGAGCGCAAGTTGCTGATGATGTGTCCATTCGATATTACTGGCGTCAAGTTCTCGGACGTGGAGGTTCAACAGATCTACCAGCGCCAACAGTTTTTTGGCATTGCGAAGGACTGGGAGGACGATTTCAAGGAACCTGCTGGAGCTGAACGGGAGGCAGCAGAGACGTTAACCAACGAGAAGCTCGAGGTGCTCTTGGATCGGAGAAAAAACGGGCCTCCGTTTGAAGACGCCACTGATCCGCCGAAAGACCCAGATAAAGACGCACAAGAGAAGAAGGTGGTAGCGCTGCAAGCGAAGGCAGATACGCTGCGAGATCAGGAGAAGCAGCTTGTCGACACACTCAACCAAATCGCACAACAGACGACGGTAAAGCGCGGTATCGTGATCCCTGTGTACGATGGCATCATCAAGTTGGCTATCTCGCTGGTCCTGGAGCTGCGTACTATTGGTATTAACGAGCCTATCGAGATGCCGCATTGTGGCGATCTGGATGAAGACGCTCAGAAACTGTACCAGACCAAGAAACAACTGGGTACAGTCTGGTTCTACAACGTCTGCGCCAAGGCAGAGCGAGCGACGAGTGTCATGGACTCGTCTCGCAAGGTTTTCTGCGAGAAGATTGAGGACTGCCACGCCAAGTTCCGCGGCTTCATCATTAAGCCACTCGCTGTGACGTTCTCCCGATTCGAGGAGATCATGATGATCGATGCTGACACGACGTTCTTCGTGAGTCCTGCGAAGCTGTGGGAGGCGGACAAGTACAACAAGACGGGCAACTTCTTGATGCACGATCGGATCAGTCACGAGATTTATTTCATGGCGGAGCGCGTTCCTGGGAAGCCTGACGTGTCGGTGGAGCAGAACTACTTTGCAACGTTCGACGTCACGCCGTTCCGCTCGCTGGCTACGCTTGAGCGTCCCAAGGCGACAGTCGAGAACCGAACGCCTGTGACGCTGCACTTTGAGCCCAGCGACTTTCTACTGAGTAGTCACTCGTTCAATCTGCGTGCAGGCCATCAAGTGGACTCGTCGCTGGTGCTGTGGAACAAGAAGCGACAGCCGCGAGCGACTGCGATCCTGGCATCTTTCATCGCGCTTAACGACATCCCCGCACCTCCGTCGTATGGGGACAAGGAGTTCTTCTTTTACGCTAGCGAACTGGCGGAGACGCAGTATTCCTTCTCAGATCACGCGATTGGTGGGGTGGGTACGAAGCTGATTGACGGCGGTCCCAAGAACTCGACGTTGTGTGGCGACATGGCTCAGGTGTTCCCGATCCATCAGGACGGCGTGCCGGACGACGACGTGCCGCTGTTTTACTTCAATAGTGACCGGATCTTGTGGTTCCGACCCAAGACGGAGCCTGTGTATTATATGAAGGCGCGGCCGTGGGCGTTCTACCCTGGTCCGTTCGGAGAGCGCAAGCAGGAGTGTCCGTTCGGAATCACAGTCGGCCAGTTGTCTGCAGAGGAGGAAAGACACTTAGCCGGACGTCAACATATCTACGAAGTGGTGGACGCTTGGCATCGGGTGGGCAAAGAGAAACCGGCCAACTTGGACGAGCAGAACGTCGCCATTGACGGCGTTCTACGCAAGGTGGTCGCCGAGATGCAAGGCGCAAGTCCCGCTGATGTGGCGCCGAGTCCGCCTCAAGAGAGCAAGCAGAGCGACCAGCTAGAAAGGACGACGCAGATGATGGAGAGGCAACTCGTGTACACGCTGAGCCAGATTACGCAGCGTACGACGACCAAGCGAGGTATCGTGATGCCCCTGTACGAGCCTATTGCGCGTCTCGGCTTGTCACTGATCCTCGAGCTACGTGCTATGGGGATTACGTTGCCTATCGAGGTGCCACACTGCACCGACCTCAAGCCGGAGACGGTGGAGCTGATCCGCTCCAAGAAAGAACTGGGCGAGATCCGCGCCTACGACGTCTGCGAGCTGGCTGCAAGTGCCAAAAGCGTCACGAACGCGTCGCGTCCAGTGTTCTGCGACGACATCGACGGCTGTCGCGCCAAGTTCCGGTCGTTTATGATCAAGCCACTCGCCGTGAGCTACTCGCAGTTCGAGGAGATCCTTATGCTGGACGCCGACACGACGTTCTTTGTGAATCCCACCGTCTTGTTCGACTCGGACAAGTTCAAGACCACGGGCAACCTGTTGATGCACGATCGGATCAGTCACGACTGGTGGTTCATGGCCGAACGAGCGTCGAAGAAGCCGGACATCTCCGTGGAGCAGAAATACTTTGCCAGCTTCAACGTGACTCCGTTCAGACCGCTGCCCACACTGGAACGACCCAAGGCCACAGTCGAGAACAAGACGCCCGTCAAATTGAGCTTTCGTCCGAGCGATTTCCTGCTCAGCAGCCACTCGTTCAACCTCCGTTCAGGACACCAAGTGGACTCGTCTCTCGTCATGTGGAACAAGAAGCGTCATCCTCGAGCGACAGCCATCTTGGCCTCGTTTGTGGCGCAGAACGACATCGCGTCGCCTCCGTCGTATGGCGACAAGGAATTGTTCTTCTACGCGAGTGAACTGGCCGAGACGCAGTATTCTTTCTCGGACCACGCTATCGGAGCTGTAGGCACCAAGGTCGAAGACGGCGGTCCCAAGAACTCGACGTTGTGTGGAGACATGGCTCAGGTGTTCCCGATCCATCAGGACGGCGTGCCAGACGACGACGTTCCCTTGTTCTACCTCAACAGCGACCGCATTCTCCACTTCAAACCGGACGTGGAGCCTGTGTATTATATGAAGGCGCGGCCGTGGGCTCACTACCCTGGAGCTTTCGGCCAGCGACCACAGGAATGTCCGTTCGACATCACAGTCGGGAGGTTCGAGGAGTCCCACATCAAGCACCTGGCAGAACGACGGAAGCTCTGGGAACAGGTCAAAGCCTGGTAATGATAGAGTATGTTATGAGTGTTGCAACCAGACCCCGTTAAGTTAGAGGGCACTAATGCGGACTCGGTACCGTACAGCACTACTGTAGTCAACACGTCGACTTTCATCTAGCGCAGTGTGCATTTTTGTTTGGTTTTCGTTCAATATCCTTCGCATGTAGGGATATAAAGAGCGCGGTACTCCATTGGAGCAGCTTTACTGAGCCACACGTCTCTTCTTGACACGGTCAAAGTATTCCTTGACAGTGATACCTTTGCGAGAAGCCTTGACTTTGTCCGATACGACGGTCTTGTTTTTCTTTTCCTTCATGATCTCAGCAGGTGAACGCAGTGTCATCCACGAGCCATCGTCATCCTTGATACGGATGGTAGCGTTCGCCATCTCCTGTACGTTCGTAGGGGCAGCGCCAATGAATTCTACCTGACCTTCGCGTTCCTTGCGTTTAGCTGCCAGCCGCTCGGCATCCTTTTGCTTGCGTTCCTGCTGCTTGGCCAACAAGCGATCAATATCGATCTCTAGATTATCTGTGGCCTTCTTCTCACCGACACCCTTGACCTTGTCCAAAAGATCATCAGGAAGTGCCTCCACTACATGCAGCTTGTTCGACGTCATGACACGTCCATCCTGGAGCTGAATCAGCTTGCCCTCTGCCAGATTCTTCTCGAGCTTATCCCTCGACATGTACATAGTCATCTGATTCGCACGCACGAACTGCAAACGTTCGGCACTCGTCATTTTCTGGTTCATAGCATCGTTCAGCTGCTGAGCGTTAAGATCCTGCTGGATGTTGGCCTCACGGTTACGTCGATTGATCTCGTTGATACGGAGCACATCGTCCGAGTTGTGTTTCTTCCGCTCCTCGTTCTTAGCCAGCAATTTCTGCAGTCGTTCCTCCAGCACCACTGCCTTCTCGAAGTTCTTCATGTCCTGAGCAGCACGCAGATCACGCTCCAAGCGCACTCGCTGAACACCCAAGGACACAGTGGAAAGACCCACGGCCTGCTTACGTCTCACCATATCGTCCACTTCAGCGTCTGTGTAGTTGTGCTGGGTGACCATACGTTCCTTCTTGGAGAACAAGCGCTTCACTTCACCGTGCGTAGGGAAGTGCAGACGCTCCTTGTTCATCACAGCTCGCCACAACAAGAACTCGCGCTCGCGTAGTGAATGGCCAGACACGCCGTTCAACTTCCACTCACGTTTGCTCTTACCAAATGCACAGATGATACCTGTATGCGTCGTCTCTCCACAAAACGTGTAGCTGCGCGCCATCTTGCACACATTCACGACTTCACAGAAACGATAGACCATCTCTCCATCCACCATCTCGATTGGTATGCGCACATACACGCCACGTACCAGCTGTGCGAAGAAGGGCTCGAAAAAGTGCTTCTCAAAGAACGTTCTCCTCTTCAGCAAGTAGTGATTGGCTTGATCCCACGTCACAGGCACATTCTCTTCTGGACGAATCGCAGCAGCCAGCTCTTCCTCATCTGCAAGCTTCGTGCTGGTTGAATTCGACGCCTTCGATTTCTTAGGCTTGCGTCCGTCACTGTCCTCGTCACTATAGTCGTCATCGTCTTGACTGCGACGTCGTCCAGAGCCGCCACGTTGTAGTTCCCTACGTCGACGTCGCTTTTCCGCCAAGTCGCGTCCGCTTCTACTGCCTCCTTCCTCTTCGGAGCTGTCGTCGTCTCCGAACCTGTTGCTTAAGATCGAGCGACTCTTGTCACTTGACTTGTTAGCCTTCAAGTTGTGGAGAGCTTCTTTACGTCTGTCACTCTCCCTGCTGCGTCCGCCACGTCGTGAAGGGAGCTCCCCTTCTTCCTCGCCTTCCTCGTCCAAGAATCCGTCCTCAGCTTTGCCTTGAGATGCTGCGAGTCTCTTCTTCAGTTCGCGTTCCTTGTTACGTTGCTCCTTGGCTTCGTATTTCTCCAATAAGCGTTTCTCCTTCTCCACTTCTGTAAGTCCAGCCACATCGGCGTCGTCATCTTCGTCTTCCTCGTCTTCCTCCTTGATCTGGAGCTTGCCGCGTCGCTTCTTGCCACTTGAATCCCCTTCGTCATCAGCCTCCACATCCGCTTCTGCCTTGGCCTTAGCATGCGCCTGTTTTTTGATCGCTTTGTTGCTGCTACGATTCTTGCTCTTGGTGGGGGCCTTTGGCTTCTTGGGTGCTGGTGAGCGTCGCTTCTTAAGCTTCTTCTTAGGCGAATCAGAGCCCGAAGCATCAGAGCCCGTGCCAGAGCCCGAGCCTGACCCACTGCCAGAACCTGAGCCCGAACCGGAATCAGATCCAGATCCTGAGCCGCTACCTGAGCCGCTACCTGATCCCGAGCCACTACCCGAGTCGGAGCCACTGCCGCTGCCTGAGTCGCTGCCCGATCCCGATCCGGAGCCTGAGCGGGAGCTCACGGAGCCTGAAGCGCTTGAGCGGCCGCCGTCTGACTCGTCGCTGCTCTCGACAACCTTCTTAGCCATCGATGCGCGCTCTGACCTTCACTCCTTCCACTACACCGATGCGGGCAAGTTAACGACTGACGCTTAAGGAGGATGAGACTGGCGTTGAGTAGGCGCTACTTAGCTCAAGTACAAACAGAGTGATGGTCTTCAATAGTGACACGTCGTTGTATCGAGGGAGTTTGCCTCAGATGCGACGGCTCGCGGTGATGAGCAAGCTGCGCTTTTGCGTGGCGGCGTGTACGAGCGAGGACTCGGCGTTCCTGGCTTCCGAACTGGAACAACCTGCCGACAACAGCCAAGGCTACATGACGGCCAAGTATGAGTAAACCTAGCTGGGTCTTCTCTTCACAAAGTGAAACCCTAATGAGATCTTGCTCTCTAGGAACTGCCCATACCCGCAAGAACTGGTGCTACAACTCGAAGACGGCCTCTGTCGGCTAACCCAAGTACAGCTTCTCTCTCACCAGAGCCACATTGCCACTAAAATGGAGCTCTTTGTCTCTAAAAGCCTTTCGTTTGAAGGAAATTCCACAAGGTTCAGCCGATTAGGGTTTCTTACTCTTAAACCCAATACCGAGAGCAGATACATGGCCAGAGAGCTCAAAACGGTACATATCGACCACGAGGCAGCGCTGCTTAAGCTGCGCATCCACGCATGCCACGTGAACGACCACAACCTGTACAACCAGGTAGGTATCATGGATATCAGCTTGTGCGGGGAACCACTCGAACTGCTACCGAGCCACTCGAGGGACGAAGTTGTGGGGACTAAACCAAGGCACCAACATAAGAGTCATAGACCTCAGGACCAGAGCTTTGATATGAGGTTCGACGCCAAGACAGCTGCCAGGATACGCGAGATTCAAGTAGCCAAGGACCAAGCTGTAGCCAACGAGGACTATGACCAGGCTAAGAGACTCAAGCAGATGGAAGAACAGTTAAAGAGCGTTGGCTTGCAGCTTGCTCGACTTGAAGCCCAGAAGAGAGAAGCCGTGGCCAATGAAGACTACGATCTGGCCAAGAAGATCAAGCACGAGATCGGCATGCTGGAGGCTTCAGTCGGTAGTAACGAGACGCAGCCAATCCTCCCGATGCCACCGGTGGCGCCTTCTCCTTCAAGAAGTCAAGTGATGCCCAGGATTGGCGCAATGCAGCGCTCGACGTCCAGTTTCGCACCGAGAGACATGTATCCTGAGGACCCGCAGGTTGCTAAGAGCGGGAGTTTCTATGGAGACGGAAGTGGATCACTACGTCACTCGCAGCAAGGTGGATTCCCTGGGAATGGCCTGGATTTAGTACACACTACTGAAACGGACCCGGAAGACGAAAGTGGAGGTCCGAGCGCGCATTTTAGAGGCCTCCCGGACGCTGAGAACTTGCCGGATCCTGACGAAATCCCGCCAGCGTTGGCCAAAGAAAGCGAAGAGCTGATCGCTGTGATCGGTCCGTTCTTTACTCGTTGCTTCTATAGTAACCTGTGGAATCATCGTGACGCTGCGATTCGCAAGGTCACGATGGACATGGGCGATTACCCCGTTGAGCCAGTGCGATTACTGGAGGTGTGCTCTACTCTCGCACAAAGCGGGGCAGGAGACCGTATCGCTCAAGTGGCGCTGTCAGCTTTCGGACTGCTGGACCGTATGGTGGTGTTTGGCTCGCGTATCCGCCGCGACGATATGTGTCGAGTTGTAAGTCTGGGACTCTGTGTGTTGCTTTCTGGGAGTGTGATTATGTGTTTAAATGTTTTATTCTGTGCTGTACAGCTCGGCAATAGCATGACTCAGCTGGTAAACAAGCTCGGCGAGTCTCAAGCGAAGGTTCGCGAGGAAGCTGCGGCTGTTCTGGGGCGACTAGCTGCCGCAAAGAATGTGGGCGTGGCTTTTGTGACCTCACATCTCACCAAGCGCTCCAAGAAGCCTCTCGGACTCAAGCTGCTGCAAGGTCGGCTGCTTGTGCTGAAGAAACTTCTGGCAGAATTCGAGCTGCTGCCTGACTCCGACTTCTCGGTGTCTGGTATCATGGGGCTCCTCGAAGACTGCAACTGTCTGGCACATCAAAGTCGAGATATACGAGACGCTGCGAAGGATATCACTGTGTCGCTTTATCTCGTGGTAGGCGCAGACGTCGAAGGCTACTTGAAATCACTGCGACCAAAGCAGCTGGAAGAGTATCAAGCGGCGTTCGAAGCAGCAGAAACAGCGAAGGTGTCAAGCCGTCGTGTCGGTGCAGCTGCAGGTGGCAACGGGAGCGTCGCTAGAAGAGACGAGGAGCCTCGTGAGGAGCAAGCGACGTTCGAGAGCGAAGTCGACGACGCCGACAGTGACGAGGACTCTGTGGACGAGTACACGTGTCCGTTCTGTGGCGTTGTGGACGACAAGTTTGACTCGGACTACCTGGATCAGCACTTCTGGGCGTCTTGTAAGATGCTGACGCCATGCAAAATGTGCGGCCAAGTGATTGAGATCTCGACGCTGAATGAACATCTGCTGACCGAGTGCGAGATGCAGCAGAACCACCGCGAGTGTCCTCGATGTGGAGAGGCCATCACTGCCAAGTTCTACGAGCGACATGTGTCGCTAAATGATTGTCCACCTCGTGCGCCGTTAAATCGAGCTAACCGCTGTCCACTGTGTCACGAGGATATCGCCCCTGGGAAGAGAGGCTGGCGACGTCACTTGCTAGAGCAAGGCTGTTCAAACAACCCTCGAAGCTAGAAGTGGCTTTAGAAATGATGAACAAGAATGTGAAAACGAAGAAGCAGACGCTAAATTTTTTTTTACTACGTCGACGTGGCTGTAGCATCTCGAGAGATAAAAGAGTGAGAAGAGGTCGGTCCTAGTTGGCTGCGTCGATGTTGCTTGGGCTGGCGGCGAAGTCGAAGTGGGCATCTTGGTCACGTCTGATTGAACGGATGTTGACTTCCTGCACTTGTCGTTGGTAAAACTTGAGAGAAGTGACTCCAGAGACGGCAACGGCAGCGATCTCGCCCTCTTGTTGCACCTTGGTGGAGCTCACAGCCACGAACTTCCAGTAGCACTGTCGCTCAAAGACACTAGCTCCCAGATCAGTCTCCTTCATTCGATGCAGCTTCAAGTCGACATTCTGAAGTCCGTCGACAACCGATCGCCATTGCTCGACCAACGAGGCTTGGGGAGCTCTGGGATCACTTTGAAGAGCAGTAGCGACATCCTTGTCATGAACACGACGTAGACGCTTGGATCGTCTGGTCGATGGAGAGGCATCGCCTTGTCGGTCTTGGTTTGTGTCCTTGCGTGCTGTCATTTGGTCGCTGGCAACATTAACCCACCCGGGATACTCGTGATCCACCAGTGCGTAGTGCAGACTCTTCACTGCGAACTCACGGAAGAGCTTATCTAGGTTGGTACCGCACGAAGTGTGCACAAATTCTTTGCCGTCAATAACACCGAGTTTGTGGGCAAGCTGCGAGAGATACTGGTGGCGTTCTTGACGTTCATGAGCTAGAACTTGGCGCTCGTGTTGCTGGAGCTTGCGCTTCAGTCGAGTCTTGCGGCAGGATACCCGGTTCTGCAGACGACGACGGGTCAGGGAACATTCTGGTTTCGGGTTCGCTTGTGCTTTCCCGGCTGAAGAGGTTTGCATCTCGACAGATTGAGCTGCATTCAGGAGCTCAGTGAATGTTGCGATCGGCGTCTGATGAAATGCGAGCCCTGCGATCTCGTCACGGGGGTACTGAAGGATGTGAGGACGCTCCATGGAGAGTTGGTGTACGTCTGCCATTGCTGTGGTGGCGTGCTGCTTCGACGACGTCGTCGCAACTTGGCTAGGAGATTAATGTAAAGTGCGGATCTGGCTGGAGCTTCGCCACTCGGCAAGAGAGATCGTTTTCTAAGATACTTTTTTCTATCAATAAGAGACGGATTTTCTCACAGCCTGAAAGTGGACACGAAAAACTCCACGCGTTTGGGACATTGTTGAGCTACCTGTCCGAGCCATCCATTTCGGGCTGTGCCTATGCCGTGATGACGTGTCGGATTGCGATGGATCGAGACTGCTCACCTCATAGCTTTTGCGTGAAAGACGTGTAGAGTTCGTTTTTTAATACCCGTATTTAAAAAAAAACAAGTTGACATTTTGATGAATAACCCCAACTCGAAAAATTTAAGGACAAAATGAGAACCAAAAGATGATGGCCTTGCTTGGCCACAGTTATGGTAGATGCTCCTGTGAGCATAAATCAAAACGTATCCCTGTATTAGCTCTCTACGAACGTACTAGCAGCTCTTCGCTAAACCTACGCATTATTGCGTGAGCTGCTGTGCCGTACGGTGTCTGGAATAATTTCCCGAAGAGTGTTTTGTCCTTATGTTAAGGACAAAAATCGTCAAATTTAATAGTATGATCAAGTACATCTGTACGAATTCCTACGACACGCAACTAATTGTTAGCACGAGTAGCCATGACAAGGCAGAGCGCGAGCGCACCGAGTCGTAGCACTTTTGCGCTTGTTCGTAGTCCCTCTTGGCGATCAACGCATTTCCCTTCTCCTTCTGCTCCAAAGCACTCTCAATACGATCATCTAGTGGATACGAAGAAGAAAAAAGTGTTAACAACACACACTTTAATCCATACAAAGTGTCTCAACTGTCATATCAGACAGAGGCTTGGCACGCTCGATTTTTGTCCTCTCGACATTTGTGGACACCACTCCATAATGTTGACTAGATAATAGCAATACAAACAGTCAGGGGGAAACACGCATATGCTATATTCAGAAAGGGCTTACGAAATTAGCTTCAACCTAGTGATGAGTTGAAACCCACCAAGCGTGGATTCCGAAAGCCCCTTACTGAAGATGCCGCAGCTGTTTCGGGCGGAAAATGATCTTGCTTGCCAGGTTATCGACGAATTCCTTACAGAGTCTCGTTTATTGTTCAGACGCCCATCATCCGTGGAGCTGGAGTGTCGATGCCCGCGCGGTACATGTATGTTGCCCCTACAGCTCGCAAGAAGTGGGCACTATACGTTGCCGGGTCAAAGCCAAGCAATGAGGCGACTCGACGAAATGTTTTTGCTATTTCGGACGCTGAGATGCAGTCAATTGAGCCATTGTTGCTGACGAGCACCGCCGCTGAAATCTCCGGTGTCAGCGTATGATGGGCCTTCAGAAGACACGTAGCCCCGAACACTGAGCATAGAAATTTGTGACCTGAACGGCTAACCCCATATTTAGGCCTACAAACGCAATAATTCTAGAAGCAGTCTATTGCAGGGCTGTCGGAAGGTCACCCTCGCCTCGAAACCTGGACGTAAAACTGCGCTGTCGAAGGCAGCTGAGGAAGGGATTGTCGAGGTTATTCTGCTTCGGTCTCGTCGAGGCATATGTATGACCGACAACGATCTTCGTCTACTGGCTCGTGAAGTTGCGAAAGCTGACGTTGTGCCAGTGAACGACACATTTCCAAATGAAAATGGCCTTTAAAGTTTGTTCGTCGTCACGGTGATCAGTCGACTCGGAAAAAGCCCAAATTCTAGACATCAAGCGCTATAATACGTCCACATAAGAACGTATTCGATCTTTTCACAGTGAATTATTAATAGAAAGCGTAGCGAGGACTTGCGGACTATTTCAAGTGTGGAACTGCGACGAAACGGGCTTCTGTCCTCAAGGACGGATGGCACTGCGTGTGATATGTGCCAAGGGGATGCGAGCGAATACTATGCGCTCAAACGATCGGGACAACGTGTCCGTAATGGCGTGTGTTAGTGCCTCGGGTGATCAAATCCCTAAAATGTTTATCTTTCCAGGGAAGCAACGTCAACCCTACTGAATGATTGCCTCCTTACAAGACCCCGTGTGCGCTGTGACAGAGTCTTCACACATTCACGGATTCTTGTTCTCGCATCGGATAAAGTTCTTCAATGACCAGATGAAGAAGAAAGGAGTACGTCGGACCGGTTCTGTTGATATTGGATGATCACTTTTCGCACGTGAATGGACCTACTTTACGGTGTGCTGTACAAAGCAAGATCCATATATTTGCTCTACCTGCACACACAAGTCATTTTACGCAACCTCTTGACGACACTGTTTTTTTTTCTCGCTAAAACACAACTACGAAAAAGTGTTGTCTAACTTTCCACTACAATTCGGACGTCCTCGTGCCTCTATGTGTGATCTCGCTGGATTGGTGAGCGAAACTTGGAAAAGTATAAAACTCACTGAGTACGTCAAGTTGGAAGGAGCCGCCTCCGAGAAGGACATTATCAAGGCGTACAAGAACACAGGGAACTGTCCTCTCTCGATAGACACATAGTTGAGACGAATCGTGGGTAGCGAACCGGTTCTCAACAAACAACCGCACGTGAAATTTATTTTCCAACGTTCCGATCTAAACGACCGCCAGAAGCGGAAGCTGAAAATAAAAGACATTTCAGCCGATGCAATTTCGGTAGTATTTATGAGATTACAGAAAGCAGCTTAACTTGCACCGGCGTGCAGACACCCAAGCGGAAACGCACATATTTAGAGGGAAATGACTCACCCTGATATGACTCTTGCTGTAATCGAGGTAGAGGAGAAACGTCGCCGCTTAGCTGACGAGCGAACGGCGAAAGCATAAGTCCGAGCCGAGAATAAGCACCCGAAAGCCCAAAGTGATGGAAAGAAGAAAACAAAGAGAGCAGAAGAAGATACAACGAGCTCAAGCCGCACCAGACAAGCTCTTTGAAAATAAAGAAAATCCGCCGAAAAGAAGGAAGCACAGAAGATTCTTGCTGCGAAGAAGCTGGCCTCCTAATCCTTTAAATGTAAGAAGAAAAGGAAGACCAAGTCATTACCGACCGCAATCACTCTGCCTGTGTCTGCAGCCTACAGTGACGCTGCGTTTGATTCAGCTTTGCCCGGAGAGCTCACAAAGAGTCTGATGTTGATGGCAGAATCGTCGGAGATTTATGTCTGTCTATGATTACACTTAGGTTTTGTAAAGTGTAATAACATTTCGAGTTGAGTCCACTTATGACATGCGTTAGACTAACGAACCGAATGCCTGATACCAAAGCAATTCCTCATTTATGTATCTACTTAGCTTGCATGAATTGAACAGAGGTGAATCGCAGCTTGCTTTCTATTCAAACGCAAACAGTCTTTTCCTTGTAGCTTACGATTTACAGACCTTTTCCTGCGGGACTTTTGCCGTTTCAAATTGAGTCCGCCAGAGATACCTTATAGCAGGCGTCCTTCCTCTCCTAGATGCCATAAGTTACCCCGGCTGGCAGCAGAAGTGACCAAAAGAGTGGCACAACGAATCCAACCACACGGTAAAAGATAAACATAAGAGACATAAAATTGAGAAAAAGCACATCAGCACCTACCGAATAACCTTAGTTATGCATTACACCCAATCTGCAGTGCAGAGACCAGAAATTGCGTGTCCCGGCTATCGGTATCTTCGAACAAACAGAACAAACACTATTTAAATTTGAGCAAGTTCACGAAAAAGATCATCAAAGGGATCGACGCCATGAATAAATGAGGATACGGCGGCAATTAAATTTGCTAGCTGGTAAATCAGGGTAGAACGTGTGAATTGCGGACGCAATACTACCGCTCTTGTCTAGATACTCTAGTACCCTCAGCTTGTGAGAAGCAGTGTACGCCGTAATGGTGTTCGTTGGTGCTTGGCGGCCCTTGCCACCAGGTAGGCGAAACCTCCCCTTTGGGCGTTTTCGTTGCGTTGGACTCATCTGCGGCTTTGAGAAGTGAGACCAGTACTAGATAATGTACGCAAATTACTGGTTGTCAAGCCGTGTAATTGATAACTAAGGATGCACGGCTTCTTTGCCCACTCAGCGTTTGGCGGCTTCTGATTGGCCACATTGAAGTGTAATTGATAACAAAGAGTAATTCATAACTAAGGTTATTCGGTAGCACTTAACAGCGATTGCGTGCCAGCTCATCGTGCTGGTTCCACAGCCTATTACACAAGCAGCACTACTACCCATCGCTGCCATCTCCGTTTCCCGTTCCTTCGTCATCAGCATCGTCGCCGCGGAGATTCCGTTTCCGCCGCGTCTTCTTCCGCTCACCCGCCTTCTTGCCAGGGCAGCGCAGGACGACCTTCTTGCCCAGAGACACAGGAATGCTTTGACCACGGTCGACACCATCGTGCAAAATTGCGAAGAACATCTTACCTTCGCCCTTGTAACTATGACGCAGCTTGTTACACAACCAGCATTTGGGGCTGTTGACGGAGCAGCGCTCATAGCAGTAGGTTGCAGGGAATGATTTTTCTTTGGGTTAGTCCAGGATACGCGAAAACGTTTTCCTCAAACACCGACGCTGCAGGAGTCCACTGCATTCCACGAAAAGCCCCGCTCGCTGCTAAATTGCACTCTTGCTCAGCGTTTCGGAGCCAACTTGAAGAGATATCAAGAAGGCTTCGTCCATCTCCACCGCGTCGTCGTCCGATACCAAATCCACGTCGTCTTCGGCTGCTGCCGTGCGCTAAACACCATGACTTCCATCATGAAAGGTTTCTACGGCGCTGTTACCCCGAGCTAAAGCTCTCTTACGCATCCAAATCGCCGTCGTCCGCCACAAAATTGACGTCGCTCTTTGGGGCAGCAAAACCCGGTCCGTTGGCTCAGCTGGCGTGGCCTCTGGGGTAACATCGCTTTCGGCTCCGGATGCTTCGGATAGTAGCTGTAGGCTGATGGCTGCTTTCCGATGTAGCTCCCCCGACGGCAAGTTGCTTGGCGACATGTCAAACGCCCGGGCCATCGCCTGCGAAAGATCCACATCCAGGCCGCTGGATGATCCAAGCAACTAGTCCAAAGTATTTTTATGAGAGCTGAGCGCTCGTGTCGATTTGAGACGGTCGTACGTCATCAGTCACAGCATCCTCAGCATCTTCTTGAGCTTCTTCGGCCACGACGCCCTCGGCTGTTTCAATCTCGCCATCTCCGTTTGCGGTCTCGTTGTCCTCGATATCCTGGAGCAATCCAGACTCAATAGCAAACTGTACTTCAGCATCCTCATCTGCAAACGTCTTCACACCGTCTGGGCTAACGTAGCTCCACTCGCGCTGGATACCACGAGGACGCTTGGCTGTCCATCCTGCTTCACGCTATTGCCTCCATAGACGTCTGAAGTCGATATCACGGGCCACTGCAGCAACAGCAGCGGTTTTGCCTCGGGAGCTGGAGCGGATTCGGGCCATCCGGAAAATATGGAATGATTGGCATCGGTGGCCATTACCGAGGAATTAACTTTAGCAAGTAGGTTGGATCCAAAATGGGATCAGTAAGTAGATTGACTAACCTACTTGTAAGTAGGTATAATCAGGAATAAGAAGTTAAGGGTTAGATCAGATATTAAGACGTTTTACAAGACAATGCAGCAACACAACAAAAAGTTATCGATGTAAGTAGGTTTATTAATCTATCTACGATGTCCGAGCGAGTCGCTTGCCCTGTTTGCGGTCGAGTTTTGTCAGCACATAGCCTCAGAAAGCATGTCGGTCGCCAAGTCTGCCTGGAGCAGCATGACCCGACTCTCAAGGCCCGCCGACTTCAGGAAGCTCGAGTAGCCAAGCTTGCTTACGACCGTCGATTTTCAAGAGCTCGGCGTGGGGCTCTCGAGCAGCTTGCGCTGCGGTTGGTCCAGCGTCAAGATCCTAGTCCTTTTCCACCCA